GTCTAGACATTGTTATGGGAGTTTACAAATTTCTCTGTCATTTTTCCTTTGCACTTTGAGGTCAGACGCTTCAGACGGAACACTTTGGACTTTGACTCAGTACGACACAGGTTGGGTGCTGAGATTTTTATGGTATCAGTGACATGTCTGCGTTAACTCAGTATTCAGTATCTCTCTGGATTGTAGCCTGCAGAAAGGGGCAGCTAACTAGCCTGACTACATAGGGTCCAAATTATGTACGTACATACTCTAAAGATGAGTGTGTGTGGGTCTTAGAACTACAGCTGCCCCTGAGGATGATATTGAATGTATCATTCAATATCATTTAAATGTACACTCCTAATTATAACCTTGAATAAAAATTTAAAGTTTGGAGTGCCAGGATTTTCAAGAGTGCAGTTACCGAAATTCCCATTAGCAATTAAGGATTTGTTGGGGAAGTTTTGTGTTTTAGTTGATGATGATTCCATGCTGATACTCACATCTGTGTAAAATCAGAATTTAACCCCAAAAGTCCAGCATTTGGGTCCTATTCTGGAAGAGAAGGTTTTTGTATTGAGAGACAGACAATTGCTGTGCATCTGACTTCCAAACCTTGCCTTCCATGACTTTGTGATACGGAGCGTCATGCCTACAGGCAAAAGAAGGAAAACAATATAACCTGTTTACTGATTAGAGCTGTTCCTTTAGGCTGAATGCAAGCATGGCGCATTCTTATGAGTTGCTTGTAAAAATTTATTTCCAAATAGCAGCAGTGAGTAGTAGTTTCCAGCACTTCTACTGAAGCCCTGAGAACCGACATTTTACTCAACAGTAACAGTAGGAGCCAGCTGGGGTCTGTTGAAATAAACTCTTCCTTCCTTGATGTATTTTAACAACTCCAGTTTTGTTACAAGTGTCTTCAAGATGGTATCGTTCCTCTTTCTGCTGTGGTTTATTTTTTTGTTTGTTTGTTTTGTTTTGTTTTCCCCCCAGGACTTCAGTTTTCCATGCTAGTGGTCCAGAACCTAACAGTGTGCAGAAGATGGGTTGAAGTGGATCATCTCTGTTGAGCATGTACTCCCTTCAGAAGGAAAAAGAGAGTCAAAACTTTTGAGTTCCTCCTATTTCTAGTGGAAGGAGGTTTCTCTGGATGTTATCTTTTTTTTTAATACAGGAAGGGCTGATGGAATCAATTACAGCTTTTTCTTCTCTTTTCAGACCTGAAATAAGAAAACACAAAATCAGCACTCAATTAAGATTACAATTAGCTCAGCAGTGCAGGTGAGAAGAGAAGGTGAGTTCTGGCTCATCATAAATATGCATGAAGAGTGCCCATATCAATGGGAGTACAGAAAGGGCTAGGCTCTGGGGGTTATAGCCATATTCTGAATCCAACAGGCCTACCATCTCTTAAAGTAGTTCTGTAAAAGTATCAGACAATGTTCGAAGAAATGGCGTTTCTGCTGTTAAAATCAGCAAGATGAGTATTTGATGGTCTCTGCTGCCATCTATTGTCATTTATTGGTACTAACAATTCTTTTTGGGATTCTCTTCATTCCAATTAATGGGGCTCTTTACTAATCCCAATCACCTCTCCTTTACGTAATCCTTCCACATTTATGCACGCTTAGTAAATACGATGAAATAATTAATAAGTACCAAAATTGTAACTTTTGTATTATAGGCTATTCTGTTTTGCCAAGAGGCCCTCAGCAAAAGAACAACTTAAGGGGCCTCTGACAGGAGGTCAAACTGTCCCTCTTTTGGATTAGGAGGAATGCAAGTGATGCTCCCCTACGTTTTTCCTTCCAACTTACCTCTATCCCAGGACAGCAGGGTGTCCAGGAATAATGGCCTAGTGCTCATTCATGAGCAAACGTGAAAAGTTCACTAGGAGCTCCTACCTCCTTTGTTTGATAAATAATTTTTTTTATCATTTTTTATCATTTGTTTGATAAAATGCTAAGAAGATGTTATGATTTGCCAAATGAAATAAAATCATTTATGGAATCAAAAAGAAATATTGTTCCTAAAGGTGAAGACGAGACATGGCTTACCTAGTTAGCCTCATTACCTTTTTGGCAGTAGGTTCATTTGTGAACAACCTGTTTTCAAAGATGAATCACAGACACCTGGAGAACTGAAAAATTGCAACCGCTTCCCTTGAATCAGACACTGATGCATTCGTTTCACAAAAGCAAGGTCAGAATTCCCACTTGTGTTATGTTTTGTTATTGTATGTTTTAGTCATATATTACAAAGAAGCTTTGTTACTCCTGACTCTTCAGCTAATGCCACCCAGGCAAGTCAAATGATTGGTGATGCTGAAAAGGCTCAGCAACATTCTTTAGGGAGTACTGTGTTTGCATTCCTATTCAGTTAGTAATCCAAACTTCAAAAATTATCTTTCATCCTTCTACAGTCACATATCCTCAAAGGGCACTGCTTTACCCTGCCTGGGCTTATTCTTGCTTTTAACTGAACTTCTGTTCAGGGCTGCATTTTTGGGTCTGCTAGGTATCCCTGATACCCACACTCCTAAGCATATCTTATTCAAGATTTCTGAAACTTCTGGGGCTATAACCTTGTTTTTCCCTGTTTGTGTTAAAGGCAGATTTACAATTCTCAATCAGTTAATATTGTTTGATCCTTAGTTTCAGTTTTATTTAATTTCTTGCCAGAGTAACCTGGCATGTACAAGAATTTATGTATTCCTACTTGTTTTCTCAGTCTATTTTCAATTAATCCCAAAAAGTAAGACATTCATTCATTCATTCATTCATTCATTCATTCATTTATTTATTGGGCATTAGCTTCTTCTGTTGTTACAAAATCATCTACGGGCAGTAAGATGCACCCGTATCCACAAAAGATAAACTTCTTTATCCTGCTCCCTTTGCTGTAATTTAACCAGTGGAAGTGCTAGAGTAGACTTCCCAAATTCCCATCCTTCATCTATGCAACCAGAAATTGTTCCCGCTTTCTCAGTAATTTACATATTACTTTCATTCCAATGGGGCGGAGCCCTCTCTGGGCTCTTCCAGACCCCCCCCCCCCATGTCTCTCTGAGTGGATCCCCAGTCCCTTGAAGTCATTTTTGATAGCCCTCAGGCTTCTCTCAGCAGCATCATCACTGCTGACCTGAACTACCAATAAGGGATAGTAGTCAGATGGGTGAACAAGCCCTGGAAGCTTGACCCATGCTCTAACGAGGCAGCACACTTCCCTCTGTGTGGGGTCAGGCTGACATATCGGGCCCTCTGTTCCTTTCAGAAGGAAGTCACCTACGACTATCACCCTCCTATAACCTGGTGACCTATGAGTTACTTTATCCCTGTGAGATACTTCTCTTCATTACTACTCTTCTGTCTTCACTGGTTTAATTTAAAGAAAATGATAAGATCAGGGTTTTTTCTGTGTTTGCTTATAGACGTGTAGTCTGAAGAAATGTTCCCCCCTTGCTGAAGGGGGAAGTGAGGTATATACATGGCAAAGTAAACAGACAGTGCTCATGCTGTACCATCTTAACATCATGTAGAGCACTGGGAGTAAAAAAGGTAATGTTCCAGTTCCATGGACTGCCGATTTTCTGGGTACCTGGTTCTCAGAGAGGAGCTACATATCCCAGAAGTCTTTCTGTTTATGTCTTCTATCCAGATGGAAAGAAAAAGCTGCTCACAAGTCGTGGGACTGCTCTCTTTTACCGCTTGTCTCAGCAATGCATGTTCCCTAGCTGTTACACCTTCAGCTGTAAAGTAAGGTCTTTTTTTTTTTTTCCCTCTAATTTAATATTATTGTTTTTCCTCTTTGTTCTCTTCACTCCCAACCCCCTTAAGCCCTCTGCCCCTGTGGGCCTGCTGTTTCTCTGTCACAGACATAGATAGATCTAAAGATAACCCCGTGACTGGTAGTAAAATAATTTTTTTCTTTTACAAAAGATAGCTTGAGGCAACTCTGACCACATGTCCCATGACTTATTTTACAATTCTGTTGGTCAATCCTTGATGTGTTTTCTTTCTTTCTCTACTGGATGAAATTTTTCACTGAACTTTTCAGAAGTCTCAGATCTTGATCTAGATGTATTTAGCCTTTCAGTTGTACATTTCTTTGGCCTTTTGTTTAATAGTTGTTGTGGTTTTGTGATTTTTTTGTTGTCAGTATTCTACATCAGTCTTCCACATCAGAACATCATATGGACCAGTGGGAGTTAAAGAGTTAATGTTCTGGTCCCATTTAGTACCTTTTTTGGGCTCTTTGAGTATTCTGATGGGAGGGGAGGGGCAGCATCCCCAGAGGACCTGGAGTGAAGGGAAAGTAAGGTGAAGCTTGGGAGAACTCCAGCCTCTTCTTCTGTCCCCGTGCTCAGCCATCTCAGCTCACCACAGAGAAAAGCACGTGCTTCCCTTGCACTATCATGGTTTGACTTGCACTCTGGGTACACTTGTCTCTCTCATTTTATTTGATTTGGTTAAATTCAGTAAAATACCATTCCTCCTCAGATTGTTGGCACTGTGTTTTCTCTTGGTTAAAACTATCTGCTAGCTCTCTGCTCTTCCCCCTCTCCCATAGCAGGTGGCCCAGAGCCGGCCGGATTGCATGTCAAACCACTAGTACCCCTTCCTTTATTTAATCATTTATTTTCTGTCTTTTTCACGGGGTTGGTGCCCCCCTCCCCCCCCCCCCCCCCGCCCCCCGTCATGCATTTGTATCTAGGGATAACTCTGTGACAATAGTTCTTCAAATGACTCTACACAGAATCCAAATGAAGTTCTCATAGAGGCCTTAGATATCTCGTATATTTGCAATTCAGTTCTTTATGCCCACTGGAATGCAGAATCTAGTTTTTCAACTACACCAACTGCTCAGAGTGATGGGAGTAACTAACACAGAAAGGTGATTTTAAAATCCACTTAATTCAGACAAAAGAAGCAGAAAGCAAATGTATAGGTCTGCTGTTATCCAGGGCATGAGCACTGGTGGAGCCTGGACACCTACCTGTGTGACCTGGTGTAAGGAACTGCTTTGGCAGGGGGGTTGGACTCGATGATCTCTGGGAGCTCCCTTACAACCCCTACGATTCTGTGATTCTAGAACACCTCCAGCCCATACATTTTCCTATGAATTTAACGTAAAGTATTGCACCAAGGAAAAAAGTCGATAGCAAATGGCTAGTCAGTGTATTTTCATTGCTGTAGCTGGCTATAGAGCAAATGGTGATGCTCATTGTTCTAGGAATATATCTTCAGTAGTACAATTCAAAGCCAGTGTCACTTCTCTTGTGAAGATACAGAACACCAAAAATCTGCATTTTTTTGCAGCCATCAGCAAAGAAGCACAAGGTAATATCCAGGAGTCAAAAAAAGCAGACAAGAAATGATAGTTCATGTGATAAGGTGAAAGGAATTACAGAAATCTGAAATAATCCTGACTCCCTCTACTAATTCCTCCAATCCAGATGATTTGATTTTCTTCCACTGTGTTTCCCATAGCACCCCAATCCTGTTACACACATGGATTATCAGTCATGCTGATGAGACACTTTCCCATGAAGTAGGCTTTGTCAAAGAACACTTGCTCATCATCGTGGAACATTTTTTGGAGTGCAGTAGGAGACAACTATCTGTGTGGATGCTGTCCTTGCTTACGTACCAGCAAAAGCCTAGTATGTTTTCCATGTAGAACTGATAGCTCTTACAAGACATTGAGTTCTAAGGTAAGCAATCGATCATTTAACATTTCTGTTTGCACATTCTTTTTTTTTTTTTCTCCAATAAATACCCGTGCAAAAAGCTTAGCAGGATCTATAGCTCTGTTGAGACCATTAGGATTTGTAGGAATCACTTTTTTTTTTTTTTTTTTTTTTTAATCTACAGCAACAACATATTTCTATCTGATTAATTGATATCTTCATCTAAAAGAAAGTGTGCTTACTTACCACTAAGTCCATTAAGTCTCTGCCTTCAAACATACTTTTCAAGGAGTAGGGGAAAAATGCTTACCTGCTGAGGTACCTAGTTTGTTCCCCGTATCTGCCCATTTATAGCTTACTAATAGTGATATATGCTAAAAATGTCTCTGTGTGATATCTGAGAAGTGAAGAAAGAGGATGAATTTATCTTTAGGGAAGAAAAAAAAAGACATCATATATGAAATAAGGTATCAGACCTGCTTTGTGTATTATATTTTGAGACCGTGTCTTTCTAATGAAAGATCCTAGCAGAGACTGCAGGAATACAAGAAAGACTACTCAGAGTAGCAGCTGTTTCATCTGCAGGAGATGGATGGGGTTCTTTCTCTGGGTCCACGGGCCTGGGATCTAGTGGGTTGTCTGACCCATCCCAGTGATTATTTAAGGTTGCACCAGAATGTTTTTAACTCAGGACACTTGACTCAGATGTCTCTCAGAGCAAGGGAAAAATGGTGCAGAGTGAAAGCATGAAGGAAATGAAAGAGCAGCTACAGGCGTGCAATGGCTCCTTTGTGTATTTGTCCATATCATATTCATACGAAGGTTGCATCTTTTCTTTCACTCATACTGCCTTATAACTGTTTTCTGATGCTAATCCTAAAAGCATTCCAATCTTTTATTGATCATCTGACACCTATAGCTCATCTCATTACTCTTCAAAAATCCTGCTATCAATTTAGCCTATTTCAGTAAAAATATGTATTTCACAGCTGTCACCAGCACACACTCCTTTTGTTTATGAATTCACTTTGAAATGCTTTTTTTCATGTCTGCCATTGGTAATTTCAATATTTAGTAAGATTTATTTTTCCTTACAGATACCTGATTTGACAAAACAATGGCTTAAAGGACCTTCCATAATTTAACAGGCAAATATCGGCAAGTCAGTGTGGAAAGGCAGTTTGGACAACCATGTAGCTTTCAACTATCTTTGGGAATCTTTCAGACTTTGGAGTCAAGAGAGATGTCCTCCTTGGAGACGTTTTGTTTCTCATTTGGTTTCTAGAGAAGAAGCAATGGAAATGGTCTTTTTATCACATCTTCAAACATAGCAAGGATTATGATTTTTTTCTGTCAACCTGGATGGCAATCTTTTACTCTTTACTATGGGTGTAGATAAAATGTCTTGAACTGGAGGCCTTAATCATTTACAGAAGAATGTTTTCTTATGAGCACAGTGGATAGAAGCACCTTGGCTTTGGCGCTTACTTTTATGCAATTTTCCCTCTACAACAACAAAATTTGCTCCCTGCTAAAACATTCTATGTTGGTTTTCCTTGTATTCTTTTTCATTTAGCTCTCCCACTGTTACTTCAGTTTTTTTCTTTTCTTTTCTTTTCTTTTCTTTTCTTTTCTTTTCTTTTCTTTTCTTTTCTTTTCTTTTCTTTTCTTTTCTTTTCTTTTCTTTTCTTTTCTTTTCTTTTCTTTTCTTTTCTTTTCTTTTCTTTCCTTTTCTTTCCTTTTCTTTCCTTTTCTTTCCTTTTCTTTCCTTTTCTTTCCTTTTCTTTCCTTTTCCTTTTCCTTTTCTTTTCTTTTCCTTTTCTCTTTTCTTTTCTTTTCTTTTCTTTTCTTTTCTTTTCTTTTCTTTTCTTTTCTTTTCTTTTCTTTTCTTTTCTTTTCTTTTCTTTTCTTTTCTTTTCTTTTCTTTTCTTTTCTTTTCTTTTCTTTTCTTTTCTTTTCTTTTCTTTTCTTTTCTTTTCTTTTCTTTTCTTTTCTTTTCTTTTCTTTTCTTCCCTTCCCTTCCCTTCCCTTCCCTTCCCTTCCCTTCCCTTCCCTTCCCTTCCCTTCCCTTCCCTTCCCTTCCCTTCCCTTCCCTTCCCTTCCCTTCCCTTCCCTTCCCTTCCCTTCCCTTCCCTTCCCTTCCCTTCCCTCTCCCTCTCCCTCTCCCTCTACCCTCCCCTCCCCTCCCCTCCCCTCCCCTACTCTCCTCTCCTCTCCTCTCCTCTCCTCTCCTCTCCTCTCCTCTCCTCTCCTCTCCTCTCCTCTCCTCTCCTCTCCTCTCCTCTCCTCTTTTCTGTATTTCTCCTTACCACCACCACCACCAAAAACCCCTTTTTATTCAAGTCTGACACTGTTCCATGTGGAGGAATCATTGGACTGGAAGGAATCTGAGCACTGTGAGATTCACTCTCCCTGGCCAGCAGCAGCACAAATGCTGCCACTCTCACAACACATCAATATTCAAATTTCTCTTCTCTTGGAAAAGAAACAGGAAGAGGATGACAATCTGTACCTATGCAAATTTTCTGCCACAGACATGAGTTCAACTTAGCCCTCCATCTTTTATCTATTAAATTTTCAGGTACATTTATTTGCATTTGCAGTGTATGACAATTTAAGCAACAATAGGGTAATCTATTTGGAGTACAAACGATCTTACACCTTGCATTTAGATTCTGTGACTAATGAAAACTGGAGCCAAGATCTACAGGAGCAATTGTAAAGAAATAGGCCAGATAACTAAGCAACAAGTGAAATTCATTGTAAGTAAAACTGAAGTAAGGCAAAGGGAGACAGCCTGTCTTGGCATGAATTATAAAGGACCAAACGCTAAGTATGACTGCTGGGAGATGTGGTCTTGGCTTACTTTAGGTAATTCCATGAAAATATCCACTCTGTGCTCTATTATGTCAGAAACGTAGTTGAATTATTCTGAATAATTGGTAGCGTAATAAGGATAAAAACATCTTTAGGTAACTTAACGAACTCAAGATGGATCCCATCCCTTTTGAATACAATGCCTGGACTTCTGATCTCCACTCCAGAAAGACATAATAGAACTGGAAATACTACCAATTTAAAAAAAAAAAAAAAAAACACCAAAAAACTGGAACAAATAAAGGCCAAAGAATTATAATACTACGGAATGGTAGGGTTTGAAAGGGACTTCTGGAGCCCATCTGCTCCAAGCTCCCTGATAAAGCAAGTTCCCTACAGTATGTCTTCACAAGCAGTTAATAGAGGACTTTTCAGCTTGCAAAATACATGGTTTAAATGCAATATTATAGAACTCTATTTAAAATACAAATAATTTAGAAAAGATCAATAGGAAATTATGGTTCACTGTATTTTCCAACATCAGAACTGTGGTATGTCAAATAAAACAAGACAATGGTAGCTATGAAACAACTAGAAAGTGACAGCTTTGGAATAAATAAGAAGAGGTGGCTCCTCATCCTGAACGCAATTAAATTGGGGAATTTCTTGAAGGAGAAGGATGTCATAGAGGATGTTTTCTCCCAGAAATACCAGCTTCATCCCAAATAGATGATGACCCCTCCCCCACTCTCCCAAAATATGATACTGTCTCCTGGGACTACCAGTTTTCTTAGAAATACCTCAGGCCTTCTCCAAACAATACGACAATACAGCAATCCTCAAGGTGACATTTTCTCCCCAAAAGATGACATTTTCTCCCAGAAATGCCAGTTTCCCCCTCCCCCCCCCCCCCGCAGGTACGGCATTTTCTTCCAAAAATAAGACCTTCTCTCCCCAAAATAATGGCTTGCTCCAATAAAATGACATTATCTCCCAGAAACACCAGTTTTTGCCCAAACATAGAACAGTTTCGACCACAAGTATCACATTTCAATCTGAAAGAGAACACTTTCTTCCAAACATACGGTATTTCCTCCCAGAAATCCCACCCTTCACCCAAATACATGGCATTTTCTCCTACAAGTACTACTTTTCCATCAAAAATAGGACACTTTCTCCCCAAACAAGGATCTTTTCTCCCTGAAATACCAGTCTTCTCCCCAAAGAGATGATGTTTTCTACCAGAAATACAGGTTTTCTTAGGTATACTTCATGTTTCATCCACAAAATACTACATGACAGTAGCAAATGTGACATTTTCCAACAAAAACATGATATTTCCTCCCAGAAATACCAGCTTTCTCGCAAATATGTGATCTTTTCTGCCTAAAGAAGACAGTTTCTCCCGGAAACACAGTTCTCTCACAGACATAGGAACTTTCCCCCCCAAGATAAGACATTTTCTCCCAGAAATACCAGTTCTCTTAGGAACGCCTCCCATTTTCTACCAAAAATACGACTTCACA